CAGGAGTCACCACTTGCCCCATTCTGCTGGGGGCAGGCCTGCCCTCTCAGCAAGGAGCCATGCTGCCAGGAAAGGAAGGGAGCCTGCTCCCCTGGTGTGGCACGGGCTCCCAATCCAGCAGCTTTGGGACCTTCAGAGACCCAAGGATCTGCTCTGCTTGCCCACCCAGAGCCTGGCTCACTGGGGTGCAGCACTGAAGGGAAGCATCAGGAAAGGAGGGGCAGGTGCTGGAACGGGGCTCAGCAGGGCCGCCCCTGGGACCATCTCTGCCTGTCCATAGGCTAGTGCCGTGGGCCCAGGACCCAGCCAGCCACGGGAAGACAGCCTCCCAGCAGGAACTTCCATCTTTTCAATATGGCTCTTTCTTTTCCCCCCTTCTCCAGCACTAGCGCTCGTGCACTCTCTCTCTCTTTCTCTCCCCTCCTCTCCCTCCCTTCCTGTCCCCCATCATCCCAAGTGTAGCCTGTGTAGTGCTGGCCCTGGGTGTGGCCTGGCAGTGTCAGGGCCGAGTGGGGGGTTTCCCCACTGTCAGGCAAGCGTCGATCAGCCGAGCACTGTGTGCCCGGTGGCTTGTGTTCACGTGCCCTGAAAAGGCAGCAAACAGCTGTGCCCAAGGGCTGTGGCGCTTTCCCTCCCTCCTTCCCTTCCTTCTTCCCTCGTCCGTTCTCCAACCTCCCTCCGTTCCCTGTCCCTCATCCATCCAGCTGAAGGGCTCGCTCACTCTCTTCTCCTGTGCTGAAACGGTGCGTGGGGCACTGCTGCCTGGGCCTCACTCGGCTCTGCTTTTTCCTGCAGCATTCCCTCAATATCCTGGGCCAGAAGGTGTCTATGCACTACAGCGACCCCAAGCCCAAGATCAATGAGGACTGGCTGTGTAATAAGGTACAGGGGCGGTGGGCAGCAGTTGCCATGGACTGAAACAGCAGCAGCAGTGGTGGCAACATCTCTGTCTTCCTGGGACCTCTGAGGTGGTGTGGAGGACTAGCTCAGCTCAAGTAGCCACTATTCCTTGCCACCCACCTACCCACCAGTGTGTACTGAGCTCTTACTTGGTGCCAGGCTCTGCTCTCATGAAGCATGATCTTGCCTGAAGTCCCACTAGATGGTCAACCAGTATTTACATAAATGATTGACTAATGATAGTGGAGGCATAATGTGGTGTGTAAAATGTGGACCTCAGGGCCAGGCTGGCTGAAATTAGACTCCCAGATCTACTTTGATTTTGATCAGGGCCCTTAACCTCTCTCTGCCTCACTTTCCCATTTCTAAAATGCAAATGGTAATGACACCTCTCCCCAAAGGTTCTTGGGAGGCTTAAAATATGGTGATGAGAGGGTCACACTTGGAGCAACAGCTGGCCCATGGGTAGCACCGTTTAATGTCAGCTGTTACTCTGAAGGAAAGCACAGGATGTTCAAGAGCTTGTGTTAGGTGACCCAACCTTGAAGGCCATTCTGACAAAGCCATATCCACCTGAGACTGAGGGTACGAGCTGTAGGCTTTTGCAGTCATATTCCCAAAGAGGAAGCTGAGGTTCAAGAGAGGTAGAACCGTGGATGAGCCTTGAGCCATGACTTGTTCCTGATTATAGGGGCCATGGGTCCGGGTCTCCCCTGGGGCCGGCCTCACCTTCCACAGCTGGGTGGCAGTCCTGAGACCTAAGGGGAAGATTGAAAGTTTCAGAGGTCCTGACCCTCTCCCCAAGAAGGATTCTCTCTAGTAATGGGGCTGGGACCTGCTTGTTAAAAAAAAACAATATCAGAAGACAGGTTTCCACTGTCTCTGGAGAGGGAGGGACAAAGTGACAGTGGAACTCCATACCTCCTATATTTTCAGATACTCCTTAAAACCGGGGAATTCCCTGCTTTCCCCTTCTTTACCCCCTACATCATGTTGGTCACCAGGTCCTGTCACTTCCATTATAGAATTACCCTCCCTTGCCATTCCCACTGTAGAGGCCAGTCCTCCCCCCAGACAATCACCATGCACCCCTCTCTGGTATGCTGGCCTCGTGCCTCTTTCTCCCACACTCTCATCTGTAACATTCCTCAGGACCACCTCTGACCATATCCCTTCTCTACTTAAAACCCCCATAACTCTGAGCTTAAGTGGAACCATCCTTCATAATCTAGCATCACCTTTCCTCTCCAGCCTCTGCTTTTGCCTCTCTCCTTACCCTCCTACATCACCTATGGAAAACCTATTATTTCCTGTGTTAGCATCTTTTCCCAGCAAAACCACATCAAACCAAACTTCTAGGACTCCCCAGATCAAACATCCCTGCTCACTTTTCCAAGCCGAGTGAACGATGCCCCTCTTGGCCCACTGCCTTCCCCAGGCCCATGTTGGTGACCATACCCACAGACTAATCTTCCCCTCTGTGCTACTGGGAGGCCATGAGGGCAGAAGCCACATCCTGGGCATGTGGGGCAGAGCCTGGCACAGGAGCAGTGCTCAGTACCTGACCTTGGGACAGAGAAATGTGGAAGCTGGGGGTCTCCAGAGGCAGATTTCTCGAGAGCAGCAGGATCCAGTCCAGTCCTTGAGATAAAGGAGGGGCGGAAATCTGGCAAGAGAGGGACTCCTGGCTTTTAGGGATAGAAACATCGGAAGTTTCTGAACAAGGAAGCAAGTTTTAGGAAGAGAAACCTACTAAAGGGACATTGTGGGGGACAGTCCTGGGAGTTCCCAGGTATCTCAGAAGAGGCAGCAGTTACTGGGTGGTAAAGTTGTTGATTTCTGAAATAGGTTGGCACTGAGGACAAATTTGAGACCATGTAAAGGGGAGATTCACAGGCCTGAGAATGATAGCTAGAGCCCCCTGCCTCCCCTGATTCTGGAACCTCCCTTCCCTGGGGTATGGTGGGGTTCCCTGGGGGATCTATGGATCCAAGTTTGGAGGGCATAATGGAAAGCCCCACCCCCTCTGACGGCCTGGCCTGTGCCTCACAGTGTGGCGTCCAGAACTTCAAACGCCGTGAGAAATGCTTCAAATGTGGTGTGCCCAAGTCAGGTGAGGCCCTCATGCCTTTATGCTCCCCAGGACATTGGTGGAAGGGGGGAGGAGGGTGAGGGGCCAGTGCTCTGGGAGGAGGATGATCAGCCTTGGAGCCTCCCCTTTGTCACTACCCTGTCTTCTGCCTTCCCTTTGTCACTACCCTGTCTTCTGCCTTCCCTGACAGAGGCAGAGCAGAAGCTGCCCCTGGGTGCAAGGCTGGATCAGCAGACGCTGCCACTGGGTGGACGGGAGCTGAGCCAGGGCCTGCTGCCCTTGCCGCAGCCCTACCAGGCCCAGGGAGTGCTGGCCTCCCAATCCCTGTCACAGGGCTCAGAGCCAAGCTCAGAGAACGCCAACGACAGTGAGTCAGTTGTTTGTTCCTTCTTTCTCCCTGCCCTAGGGTGTCTGGGCTGGGCTCTCCAAGGTCAGAGATGATGGTGACCAGGATTTAGTCCTCCCAGGGATCTCTGACTAGTTGGGGGACAGACAGGTGATGTAGGGAGAGCATGGGAGGAGCATGACCTAACTCGACTTTGAGGGTGTGTTGGGAAGTTCTTGGCAGGTGAGTGACTGAGCTGGGACTTGGAACTGACAAGTATAGTTTGTCCAGGAGGAAGAAGTGAGAGGAAGCAGCAGGTGCAAAGATGTGGAGGCCAGAGGAGGGGGAGAAGTGGGGAGCCACGAGAGGGTAGGGCTGGAGCAGAGTATCAGGGATGCCCCCTAATATCGGGCCCCTTCCCGCAGCCATCATTTTGCGCAACCTGAACCCACACAGCACCATGGACTCCATCCTGGGGGCCCTGGCACCCTACGCAGTGCTATCCTCCTCCAATGTTCGTGTCATCAAGGACAAGCAGACCCAACTGAACCGTGGCTTCGCCTTCATCCAGCTCTCCACCATCGTGGTGAGGGCGGCACAGGGGGGGCCGGGAAGCCAGGGTCCCGGCCCCCCGGGGTGGGGAGGGGGGACCCTGACCCCAGCCCCCACCGCGGCCCCATGTCTGGCAATGGGGCAATGGAGCCGGGGACCTCCCCGGGCCTGACCCTTCTGCCCCTTCCTCCCCTCCTTCCCCAGGAGGCAGCTCAGCTGCTACAGATCCTGCAGGCCCTGCACCCACCGCTTACCATCGATGGCAAGACCATCAACGTTGAGTTTGCAAAGGGTTCTAAGAGGTCAGGGTCCCACCTGTGTCCCTTCCCAGCTTGTCCCCCAGCTGGGGGCCCCCATCTCACTCCCAGTGTCTGACATCCTCCCCAGGGACATGGCCTCCAACGAAGGCAGCCGCATCAATGCTGCCTCTGTGGCCAGCACTGCCATTGCTGCGGCCCAGTGGGCCATCTCACAGGTACTCAAAGACTTCTCCGCCCCAGCATCTGGATACCTGGGCCACTGCGACCCTCTTGCATCCTCTCTGCGAACAGGAGGGCTGGCTTGCTATTTTGGCTTTCCATGGACCCAAAACCCTCTCACAGTGGCTGCCGTGGGCTCTGGAGCCTCGCTCCCTTCCTGATCACCTCCCAGGCTTTCATTTTCCGTGCCATTGTGGCTGGTTTTCTCTCCTGTTTGGCGGTTATTTTATCATCCTGAATTATTACTACTTCTTTAATAAAAAGGAATTTATAAATGGCTAAAAGAAATTTGAGAGATGAGACTAAAGAAGGGGAGGATGATACTTCCTTTTGTCTGATGCCCAGCACATGTACCACACAACAAATGTACCAGCGTCAGCCCCGGGAGCGTTTTGGCATGCACCTTTGTTCCTGTCTTGTTTTTGCTGCTGCCCTGTTCTGCTGTGGCTGGGCAGCCCTCTCGTCTCACCTGTCTGAGGGCTGCATGCTTTCTGTTGGCAGACACTAGCCTCACCTGTGGGCAGCCGCTTCTTAGCAGGTTACCCCCCCATGTCCCCTCCTCTGCTAATGAGCCCCTCCCACCTGCCCCTCAGGCCTCCCAGGGTGGGGAGGGTGCCTGGGCCACCCCTGAGGAACCATCGGTCGACTACAGCTACTACCAACAGGATGAGGGCTATGGCGGCAGCCAGGGCACAGAGTCCTCCCTCTATGCCCATGGCTACCTCAAGAGCACCAAGGGCCCGGGCATCACTGGAACCAAAGGGGACCCAGCTGGAGCAGGTGAGCCCCAACATCTCTCCTCAGTCCCATGTGGGGGTTGGCAGGCGTAGGGTTCTGAGCCCCACCATTCACAGATGTTCTCCCTGTCCCTCTTTACAGGTGCCGAGGCCTCCCTAGAGCCTGGAGCAGACTCTGTGTCACTGCAGGCTTTTTCCCGTGCCCAACCTGGTGCCACCCCTGGCATCTACCAGCAGTCAGCAGCTGAGGCGAGCGGCAGCCAGGGCACTGCTGCCAACAGCCAGGTGAGGGAGCTTGAGGGAGATCCT